GTGCCCCCCCCCCCAAAAAAAAAAAACAAGATTAGGCCCGTACGCCCATGTACACGGAAAATTTACACTAAGCTCGGTTCTTTAAATGTGGACATAGATCTTTTTCCTGCATGCATGCATGCATGCATGTAGATTACAGAAGGTTTTGAGAGATTATGATGCAAATTTGTATAATCAGGAAGACGATCGACCCATGGGCTAAATGCCAAATGGCATTGTTTATTTCTTGGAATCGTTTTGTGAGCAAAACGTGGAAATATCTATTCAGTCATGTGATATTGGCTTCTTGTGAAAAGAAATTTCAACGACAGCGAAAAGACAAGTTTATATAAAATGAATGATTATTTGAGGCGACTTTTTATGAAATCAGTATTTGATATTTTCCCTTGTATATATAAATGGCGACCTATTTGTTTGTTCCGCTTGAGACTAGCTGTACCGAAAAATCTGAGTTCCTTTTGTTCACAAAGTGAAAGCTTGAAAATTGAAAAGCAATGGCATTCTTTAACGCACACAGAAAATACACACTAAGTTTCGTGAGACACCTCAACCTGTTATACATGTTTGAAATTTGAAACATGCTAATTTCTTATTGTCAGATTCAAGAACCAGAGTGCTCATGCTGAGTGACATTGTTCTTTCTCAGCTAGTTGAAGCGTTAATATACATAGACTGAACATCTAACATTTCGTATTCGGTATGAGATTGAAAAGGAAATTTTAACTGTATTGAAAGGACAACTAAGTCAACGAAATTATTATTTCGTTCATGGTTTTGTAAAAATACATTGGAAAGAGCAGTTGACTATCAGTTACCTGTATGACAAATTCTTTAATGTTAGTTTAATATTGAACGAAATACGCATCATAAAATAGAACTGTCTATATTTGCTTGACAATGTTATGCTTGAGACTTGCATGCCGAAGTGCATAAAGCGATACAAATATTGAAATTCAAAGATGCTTTCGTTAGTTGATAAAATTTAAGTAATCATGTGCAACTATCCTTTTATCTATAAACCGGCATATATAGTCGAGTTGGTTCTTCATCTAGCTGTATGAAGAGTCGTATAGCGAAACGTTTTAAAATTTAATTGCTTATACACAATACACGAAGATCTATTCATACATAACTTTGTTATACTTATCATGGATTAGTATATATGAAACTCAACATTTGTTAAGACATTTTAACAAATGTGTTTGAGATTATTTTCGACGCATTTTTAACTGTATATATATATTATGGTATAGTGATTTAAGATGACAATGAATTGTGCGAATACTGCTATGGCTATACGGTATACGTGCGGAATTCAAAATTTTAGTTCCAGTTCGTCACTCTTCGTCACTAGAAGATTCGGATGATGTAGATGAATCTGGCATTTTATTTATGTAATCAGCCATCATGTCGTTGATCGACTCGCCATCGGCATCGACAAACTCGTCAATGGATTTATAAAACAGAGCCAAAACACGACCAAAAGAGTCGAACTCCCCAAGGAAAACGTATACTGAGTTGTTGCTTTCATTTAGACGGTCTTGCAGATCATCTTCTTCCCATATTCCGCTTTCGTCGAAGTCACGAGGATCGTTGCCCATACAAATGTGGGCCAAGTAATCCCGTGTAAGCTTAGCAGTCCAAGGATACTTGTTTAACTCGGATGCATCGTAACCCAACAAACGACTTTTGAATCGCATGAATTCCCTCATCTCGGTATGATAAAACACAATGTCGCATGTGTCCCCGTCGGTGATGGAAAGTACTTTAGCATACGTGTGAATTCCGTTTAACGTAAAACGTTCAATGTTGTCGTTTGTGAAATCCGCCAGTGAATTGTTTAAACTCATCATCAGTTTAGCAGATATATGTCAATTTGCTCAAGCTAGACGGTAAAGGCGGTAGTATCTAAAATGCTGAGTCGTAACAAATGCCGTCTCAAACTTCTCCCGCTCAAATATAGCGTACGTATATATGACGTCATTAACTATGATCGCAGATCTAATTCAAGATTGAGATCTAGTTCAACCGACTGGATTTACATATTCAATACATGTGAAACTAAAAGAACTAACTAAATTAACTTTATGCGAGACAGGACATCAGTATAAGAATTCAAATATCAGGTACTCGTTTTAGGGATAAAAACTCACCACCTGCAGGTAGAGTTTCTAGTCCTTCCAGAATAAAACGGTGAACATTTCCTTCTGTTACTTTCTTAAGCTTGGTCAAACTCATTTTCAAGAATTAACTTTATTAAACGCTAAATTTGCCACTAAACGATTTGCTGTCGTTGTGTAATGCTGAGGCGTTGTGATCCGTTGCGAATGAGGTTTCAAATTTTAACCGCTCAGAACAAATGTACATATATGACGTCATTTCTGGTGATCGCAGAATGATACTGGATAGCGTGGCCTATTGCTCGTCGCCACTATTTTTTGAAGCCAGTGAGAATTCGATATATATATATACCATTACTATTAATGAACCACACGCATGGAAATATTTGGCTAGCTACAGTATATCAGTTTAAAATGTTCTCCCAATAATATAGAGATCCGGTAATACCTCAAATCTGCTGTACTTGTAAAGTATAAGAACTCACCAGTAAACTTTGTAAGCTCGGTAGCTTAACAGGTGGACTAGATTCCTGGAGATTGAGATTCAAATTTCGTGTGCTTATAAAAGATATAAGAAAGTCACCACCAATCTGGATTCGATATCCGGAGGCGAATATTCAGCAGGGACGCCGGAACGATAATAGGGCAAAGGGGGGCGGACGCACACCAAGGGCACCTTTACTGAAAATTTTTTTTTTCACTGCAAAATTTTTTGGCGACCTCCCCCCCCCCCCCCCCCCCCCCCC